GTCGACCGGGATCTTTCGTAAGTAGTGATAAGGCTTAGCGATCACCTTTCTCGCGGAGGTGGTTCTGTACAGTTGCTCATTTTGTATAAGCTCTAGATGGTATGGCTTTCTATGCATTTTTCATTCTTATCGGTTGGATGCTCAAGCTTGAGTAGTCCGATAATCAGTTCCAGTTTAGTCTCCACTGCACTGTTTTCGAGCTGCCTTCATCAGTTGCATATAGAGTTATGCAGTGACTCTAGAGCGAAACCTGTTCGAGTTGAATTGCTTCAATTCTATGGTTCAGCAGAATAGTTGGTAGAAATATGAGTGTAAACTGTAGGCCAGTTGGTGGGTGGTTAACATTCTCTTAGTGCGGTAGGGCAGCACCAACTACAAGTGCTTAGTCCTTTATAGACGCCAACACGTCACCACTGACACTGCAAAGTAGGTGATATACATTCGAAGGAATTCAAAGCAATTCAGCGCTCCCTTGTTTTAATTCTTCGTTTTCCATACTAATATCTCATTCGACTCGAAAGTTCTCATGGTATCATTTCACAGGCTTGTGTATAGTTACAGCCTTTTATCGGACAGACGAAGTGTGAAAACAAAATTTAGTATAAATTTCTTTCTATAGGATCTGAAGTCTCCGGTCTGAGAGCAATCGAAGCCCGCGGTTGAATCGGTGTTTTGACGAAAATCTTCCATCAAACAACCCTGTAACCGCGCTAGACCTGGTATTCGTGGATTCATCTAAAGTATGCTTTAAAACTATCAGTAACTTTTGAATAAGGGTTCCGGCTAGATAAACTTTCCCACAATGACACGAATAGGCCTCAGGATTCCATTGAATCTCGCTTGGTCTCGCCTCCCTAAAGGTGTTCTCATCCAGGCCGGACTGCAGGGGTACTTTTGGTTAGCAATCGACCCAACCCTCGAGTGTGAGGTGAGCATTTAGAGCTCTGACCTGCTGAAACCTCATCGATGCCGACGATTTCTATCACCAACGCGGGAAGCTAGACTTTAAGCATAAACACACTCAAGTTGGTGGGTGGAGTCGCCTCAACCTCATGTCCTCTGGTAGACCAGAACTTGACGCATTCGACTGCTTCCTTCCGAGTCAAATGTGAGCGTGAACCAATTACTGCGGGTTTTCAAGCCAACCTTCTGCCCCTCGTCTAGCTGACCTTTACCGGATCATCTATCCGACCGACTGGACGGTCTCGACTGGCAGGCTTGAGCACTGCTTTGCCTGACTCTCCAAGATCGAGGCCGTCGGGGCCGCTTCTCGGCTGTCCTCCGCATCGATCAGTTGGGGCGAATGCCGATTCAAAACAGCCGAGTCCGGTCAATGCGACCAGGCGGCAGGAGCAATGTCGACTTCACGACTTTCACCGACAGACCCACCAGCGGAGAAAGACCTTCCAAGGGCAGTCCAGTCGGCATAAGCCCCTGCTCCCAGTTGACGAGAGCTCCGCGTCGCCAGGTCGGCCCGCCTCCGTTTGCTTCGCCTCGCCGTCCATCCGAGCCCCCTTGAGACTGCCCCAGGCGATGTCGGGCCTCGGCGACCGCTCGTCCATAGAAAGTCAGGCCGGTTCGCCGCCGTTTGCCTTCATGAAAAGCGCGAATTGGAACAACAATGCCACCATCACCAACGGCCTCGACGCCCTACCCTCTCGACAGGAGCCGTTTCCCGGACGCGCTATCGCCCAGGCCTCTATGCCCGTCCTGGCGCCGGTGATACCGCCGTCGGCCGGTCTCACCTTTTTGGGAAATCTACAGTCAGGCAAGACGCTCAGCACGTCCGGCTACGGGACGAACATGTCAGCATTGCTGGGCGGCAAGGGTCCGGTCGGCCAGAAGACCACTCAGTGCAACTACCTGCGACCCGACCTCAATGACATGCTGGTCAAAATGGGTCTTCGAGCAGAAGTGCCCTACTTGACACGAAAACAGGTTGCATAGTAAGTGGTCATTTGACCTTTGCTCCACTCTATTTTTCCTCGCTTTACACACAAGGATAAAGCGTTGTGGAGACCTTCATTTAATGCCAAAGTGAGAGATGAAGAATGCTCCGCAAGACGACGACTGATTCCCGTTGGTTTACAGTAATTTGGCTCTGTTGTGAGGTTCAGGATGATGCAGATTACGAGGCATTCTCTTTCGTTTCTGGTGAAGAGCAGCCGAGTGATGGACATCCTCATAACTGGAACTCATTCAGGAAAGAGTAAAATCAAGAAGACTATCAGGCATTATTCTACATGTCTTATATACTCATGGCTAAAGCGAAAATAGATATAGAATGATTCGAAGTTGTTTGACCTTGTTTTCGCAACTCGGTCATATTGGTAGGAAGACTTAGAGGAACGCAGCTTGTACAGAGTCCATTGTATGCATCATCATTTCCAAAGAAGGACCGTGGACGTGGTACATTTCATCCGTTTCGCCGGCATCGTAGTCGGCATCGTCAGTGAGTCTCGCCATTCGTAGCACCATATTACAACTCGTCAAAGGCCAAGTAAAGCCCATTCATTGACAAATCGTGTGCTAACAATGCCGATGAAACGTCTGGGAATGTACCACGTCCACGGTCCTACTCTGGAAATGATGATGCATACAATGGACCCCGGACTAAATGCGTTCCTCTAAGTCTTCCTACCAATAGGGCCAAGTTGCGAAAACAAGGTCAAACAACCTCTATACAACGAAAGGAGACTGAGACCACACAAAAGGCCTCACCATCTTGGTCTTCATACCTTCGATAGAAGGATTAGGTTTGCTCGCCTTCACATTAATCAAGGTACTTATACTTGTAATGGGATGTATTCACCCTATTTCGTGTAAGGTGATGAAGGACTGGTAGTAGAATTGTCCCACAAA